GAATGGAGACGAGATAAGGGAGGGGGGAACTACCAGGCTGGTTCTGGGATGCTGACGCAAGCTTGCTCTTGTCTGACGGAGCCACTGCAGGTGGCATTTGGAGCCTCCAAAGCATCTGCTTTGCAGTGGGCCTTGTTACAGCTGCCCCCTGGCTTTGTTGCTCTGTGTGTGTGTGTCTGTGTGTGTGTGTGTGTGTGTGTGTGTGTGTGTGTGTGCAACAAGCAGGCTGGGAAGGAAGCAAGATTTGCTTTTGCCTAACATTAGGCAGGAAAGCAGTAAAACAGGCTCTGTTTTGCCCTATCTGGGACCTAAGTAGTAAAACAAGTGGGAAGGCCATTCGTGTGAAAAAGTAATTCTGTTTGTGCTAGTCTCCCAGCCTTTTGAGAGTAACAACTCATTTCTGCAAGGGAGCTGGAAGAAAGAAAAAAAGAATTCTGCATTAAATGTTTGCTAGGGAATTGCTGGTGGAGTGTCCCCATCAATTCCCCTGAAAAACACCCTGTTTCTCCAAGTTTCAGGGAATGACGGTTGAGGTGAGAGGCTGCTCAGCTCAAAGGCAGGAAAACATCAAGAGACATCATTAGGCATCAGACAGTTTATAAAGGGGGCTGGATGAATGCTTCCACTTTGAGAGAAAGCTGTGGAGCTGCCTCTCCACTGAACGACTGGCAGGCTCTTGCTCCTCTCGCAGCTGGAGCAGAGACAGGGCCAGGATCCTTCTGCTTCTCCAGTGCAGACAATGTGCTACGGGCCCTTTGACAGAGCCAGGCTCCTGTTCAGCTGGAGGCACCTTCCAGAGAAGCACGCAGAAGACCCAGGGCTCTCCCTGCACTGCTTTGCCCTGTCCACAGGTCTAGCGAGAAATGGCCCAGTGGGCAGGTCCTCAGGGCAACCTTGCAGCAGCAGAAGTAAAAGAGGCCAAGGTGCCCCATCCCTGTTTGTGTCCCCTGGCTCCCCTGGCTCCCCTGGCTCCCCCAGGCATGGAATGTTGGGCTGTGCCCATAGCAACTGTCGTCGTTGTCTCCCACTCCTGTGGCCGTTGGTGGAACACTGGTGCTGGACCAGCGCTGGAGCAGCAGCTGCAGGATCTGCTCCTGGGCTGCCCCTGACCAGCCACCTTCTAGCCTCAGTGCCAGATCTGGCCTCCTTGTAGACATCCTGATCTCGTCTGCCAGCAGGCATCCCCACACTACTTTGGCACTGGCAAAGGTAAGAAAATCCCCGTTTGCCCCCAAACCACTAAGAGAACGGCAGGAGGCTCCACTTGGCTGTCCCACCAAGCAGAAGACAGACACGGTCCTCCAATACTTGGCTTTCACTTACAAAAATGGCCTGGTTTCAGCCATTCTTACATACTTTCATCATTTACACTGACATTAGCTTTTAGTATCTTTCTAGATTCTTTTTTTTCTACCTGCATTGCATCTCTGTAGATGAATGATAGAGGATAGATCCTCTTATCTCTATGGAGATATTGGGATCAATTTGTCTATGTTTTTCAATGCCTCTAGGGCTGCCTCTGCCTCATGGTCAGAGGCAGCTGTGAAATGGGGCTGCCTGGAGTGGTCCTTCTCAACAACACAGTCACAGTATGGCAGAACTTTCTGGGTTGCAAGGCACCCACAAAGTTGAGTCTGGCTCCTGGCCCCGCCCAGGACAGCTTCAAGAATCGCACCCTGTGCCCCAGAGCAATGGCCAAATGTCCATTTTTCAGCTCTGTCAGGCCTGGTGCTGTGACCCCTTCCCTGGGGAGGCTGTGCCAGTGCCCAACCACCCTCTGGCTGAAGAACCTGGTCCTCCTATCCAAGCTAAGCCTTCCCTGGCACAACTTCCGTGCCATCCTCTTGGCTCTTCTCACTGGCCCCAAGACTGAAGGCAAGCCTGAAGGCAAGACTGCCTGTCCCTCAGTCTTCCCCTCTTGAGGACACTGCAGGCTGCCACAGGCTCCTGCCTCGCAAGTTCCACGTGAAAAACCCAGCAATTGCACCAAATTGAGGGGAGCTGGGACGCAGGAGCTTGTGCTTTGCAATGACGACGAGGAGGAGAAGGAAGGCTAGCGACACATCTTGGCTGAATTCTTTTTATCTGGGCCATTGTTTTGCTCTCTTCCAGGTGCAAAGGAGAGGCACAATGAAAAGGAAAGCAAGAGCCCACACTGGACCGTGAGTTTTGCCCTAGGGATTAAAGAGCGGCAAAGCTGAGGAATGGCGAGGAGGAGACCTGTCATTCCACAGTTGGGCTGGGATTGCTTCAAGCCTGTCCGTGGCATGTGTCTCTTGACCACTTGCCCTTCTCCCCTCCACTCCCTTTGCCCTTTAGACACATCAGGGTTGGCAGTGACTTTCAGGCTGAGCTCCCCGAGCTGCAGACCACAGCAGCGAGTGAGGAGGAAGAGCATGCATCCCTGGTCTGGAAGCCTTTGGAGGAAGATGACTCTGACATGGGAAAACCTGACAGAGGTAGCTGCCAAGCTTTTCTTCCAGCCCTGAGATACCTCGGCGTGTCAAATGCTCCTTTTTGTTGGTAAAAGGCAGCTTTTGGCATGCTCTGCATCTCTCCTTGTCTCACCCATCTTCTCCCATGGGAGTGTTAGAGGCAAGGGGAATGCTCCATTCTTGCAGCAGAGCGGGAAAAAGAACAACTTGCCGCCTCTCCCTACCGGTCAGGGGCATTGGCCACTGGAAGGGGAGAGATTGGCCCCTGCCTCTTATTCCAAAGGCTGCTTTCAAGGGAGAGCCAGCACTACGTGGGCCCTTGGTTCAGCTGCCCCTTTCTTTGCTATCCTTTCCATGCTCTCCAGCCGCTTGGCTGTCTTTAGCTCTTGTGCTTTCCTTCTCCCTTGTATTGCAGCCTTTCCCCTTTCTTGCTTCAAGCCTGACTTTCAGTGGGTTTGTGTTGTGCTTGCAGTAAGACAGCTCTTGGACATGGCCAGCGCCCGTGGCGTTTCCGGGCCAGCGGCTAACCTGGAGCTGGCCCTGCACTGCCTGCACCAGGCACGCGGCAGCCTTCCGGTAAGAAGCGGCTCTTTGGGTGCCCAGAAGAGCGGACAGGGAATTCCTAAGGCCTGGGCACTGGGATAGCCACTCCTGGCTGCTCTTTGAAGAAGGGGGGCTAACAAGGAGTGGAGAACTTGCTGCCCGCTGTGTCTCCTCCAGCTACAGCAGAGGCGAGCCCAAATGGCTTGAGCAGGGAGAATATCTCTCCTGGAGGCGCTGCTGGCAGCTCCCACAGCCTGCTCCCTTGTCGATCTCCCGCACATCTGTGTGCTCTAACACATTCTGCGGGGAACTGAGGGGAAATCCCCACAAGCCTCAGTGAGCGCAGGCAATTCTGGCTTCAGGAGAAGCATTGAGGTGGTGAG